CCAATAATTTTATCATACCATAAGCCAGTGTTACACAGTACAGCAAAGCGATAACCTTAGTCCACCTCCCAGAGGTGATAAACAGCAGATAAATACTGATAAACAGTATATATGACAAATAAGATGTTACATAACACAACTCTGTGAACAAATACAACAACTCTGAGAGCAAATAAAACAACGTTGTAACCAGCGACTACTAAACTAATATAATGAATGCTTATAACAAATTTGTTTTAACACGCTCTGGTCAGATCTATTGTTATCTCAACCCTTCATGCTCCGTGTTGGGCACCAAAAAGAACTGTCATGGTTTAACCCCAGTCGGCAACTAAGTACCACACAGCCGCTCACTCACCCTCCCCTCCCCCCGCTGTGATGAGGGAGAGAATCGGGAAAAAAAAGTAAGACCCATGGGTTGACATAAAGATAGTTTAATAGGACAGCAAAGGAAGAGAAAATAATAATGATGATAATGATAAAAGAATATACAAAACAAGTGTTGCACGATGCAATTGCTCACCACCCACTGACCGATGCCCAGCCCACCCCCAAGCAGTGATTGCTGCCCCCCGGCCAACTCCCCTCAGCTTATATACTGAGCATGACATCATAGGGTATGGAATATCCCTCTGGCCAGTTTGGGTCAGCTGTCCTGGCTGTGCCCCCTCCCAGCTTCTCATGCACCTGGCAGAGCATGGGAAGCTGAAGAGTCCTTGACTAGTATAAGCACTACTTAGCAACAACTGAAACATCGGTGTGTTATCAACCTTATTCTCATCCTAAATCCAAAACACAGCACTATGCCAGCTACTAGGAAGAAAATAAACTCTATCCCAGCCGAAACCAGGACATTCCTTTAGGTCCTAGCCCAGTGCTTGGGATAGATTTGCTATGTGTTGTTTCTTTCTTTTCTGGCTGTTGGGTTGCAGGCCTGTCTAACTATTTCTTCCTGAAAATAGAGCATTTTGGTTTCAGACTCTCCCTTTCTCTTCCAGGTGTTATTTTTGCACCTTACGGCCCTGTCTGGAAGCAGCAGAGGAAATTCTCTCTCTCAACACTGCGTCATTTTGGAGTAGGAAGACACAGCTTAGAGCCTAAAATCATTGAGGAGCTGAAGTTTATAAAGGAGGAAATGCTGAAGCATGGAAAGGATTCATTTAATCCCTTTCCGATCATTCGCAATGCAGTGTCCAATGTTATCTGTACTATGGCCTTTGGCAGGCGTTTTAACTACGAAGATGTTGAGTTCAAGACGATGCTGAAGAATATGGCCCGCGCACTAGAGCTAAGCGTGAACAGCTATATGATCCTGGTCAATATCTGCCCTTGGCTGTACTACCTTCCCTTCGGGCCTTTCCGGGAACTTAGGAAAACAGAATTAGATATGACTGCTTTTCTAAAGAAAATAATTGCACAGCACAGGGATACACTGGATGCAGCAAATCCCAGGGACTTCATTGATATGTACTTAATCCATGCGGAAGAAGAAAAAAACAACAAGGAGAGCAGTTTTAATGAAGACTACCTATTTTTTATCATTGGTGACCTCTTCATCGCAGGCACAGACACTACTTCCAACACATTACTGTGGTGCCTGCTCTACATGTCTCTCTACCCAGAAGTACAAGGTAAGACTATTTTTATTCTAGGTGTTTTATTCCAAACTGGAAAGCTCTAGATGGATGTTCAGAAACAGAAGCAAACAGCGACAGTAGAGAAGTCATTTGGAGTGCAAATAGTACATGTGTATGTGTAATTTGAAAGGTTGATATATAATTGATCGTCTTCTATCGTGCTCTGCTATGATGATCTCTAGGTTAGTGCTATATATTAACTATCTAAATGGCCCTTTAGTTTACGCATTTCTTCTGTTTTGGGACAACTTTATCTTTCCCAAGCAATCCCAGGGAACCTCAGCAGGTTTCAAAAGCTTTGGCAATTGTGGCATTCCAGGCCTATAGTAGTGGTATAAGATATGTGAGATACGTACTGGTAAGGTCTGCTTTTATGCCTCCCTGAGCAAGTAGGTTCTGGAGCCTAGCGGCAGAGTCTGGGGAAGTGAAACACTACCTACTGTACAGGAAGATCGAATTAGAGACAGCTTGAGCAAATAGGACTTACACAAGTCCAGGGTGCCAGCTGGTCAGTGTCATTGCAAGGCCTCTCCCCATCAGTCTTGAATGGTCATGGCAGTTGGGTAGGTTGCTGATTACGGGGGTGGGGGGAAAGGCACGTGGAGCATGTGGCCCCAGAGGAGAGGCAGAAGGAATGCTAACAGTG